CTATCCCAGCTGGACCCAGGACACCTTGCCCCACCTCTGTGATGCTCCACAATATTTTCCTCTTCAGTGCTTCCAGACCTCATATCCTACCATCCCTTGCAGTCTAATTAACCAGCTGATCAAGAGATTTTGATTTTTCTCACCTGTATGTGAGTGCTGCCTGGCCAGTCAACAGCCCAGAGCAGATAAGCTGCATTCATGAAGTCAGTATTCATATTAAGGGAGAAAGGGGGAAGGGACAGTAATTTGGCACATTGTCCTTGTTGTCTTTGCATGAAACTTAAAGGGAAACAAATCTGTGACCTCTACAGACATGTCTATTGGATGTCAGGCTCACAGTTATCTGGAAGAGACTCGCTGATGCCTGATCTATCATTTGATAAGTATTGTCTTGTAGGGAGAAAATAGAATCACTGGTCATACAGCATGCCTTATCTTTTAAAGCAATTGTCGTTTTCAAAATAAAGCAACTAAAAGAAGAGTAAGCATTGAAATTTTCTCTTTGATGTCATACAAGAGAATTCAGGTTCCTGCTATGACTTTGTCAAAATGCAGCAATGATACCTCCTTTAAATTTTCAAAAATATCTGTGTATGACTTTAGAAGGTTTTTGTGCAGCTCACTAGTTAGATGTGAATGTTAATGATATGAACAATAAACATTCCTTTCTAGGCTTTTATCTAATTAATGCAACACTAGTAAAGTTTTATGAACTGCTTAATTTTTTTTTTTTATACTTAGAATACAATTTTTGCCATCCCATTTCTACTTCATTTTAGAAACAGACCATTGTGGGCTGCACCTTACTGCTTTCCCTGGTCCTGATCTGAATTATTGTCACTCCAGTATCGCAGTCCGGTGCAACAGGGCTGCACTCTGCTGTCAGCCTGCTCTCGGTGTCTGTTTGCAGCACTGTAGTGATTGGTTCTACTGTTGCATGTGTTGATGCACAGAGCCCAGCTGTAGTAAAGCTTGTATAATATATTGCTTTTCAGTGTAATTACACCCAGTAGACACATTCATGATGGCTTGGTATGAATGTGTTTATTGTTCACTGAAATTTAACTTTTTTTTTTTTTTAATTTTTACAGGATGTGCGTTGTTCATCATTTGGGCTACGCTCTATCGTTGTGCCTTGGACATCATGATCTGGAATTCTGTGTTTTTGGTTGTCAACCTCTTACATTTCATATACCTAGTGTATAAAAGAAGACCGGTACGTAGAACAGCTAAATTGCACATGCAGTCTAGTAAGATGCAGGACAAAGGAAATTGTGCCCATGTTTGCTGGGAAAACCAATGAATTACACAGCAGTTCTTGAATTAGACAGGCATTCTTTTGGATGAAGTCAGTTAGCTACTTCAGGAAGGATCCAGACCATACGTGTGATCTGATGCAGTACATAATTATTTCCCTGAAGACCATATTCTTGAAAAATTATTTCATTTTAGAAGATACAATTGACTGGTTTTGGCTGTTTTGGTGGTAAGGAAGGGGTTATATTGTTTCTTTGCAGAGAGACCAGAAATGGTAGTTTGGGGTTGGTGTGGGTGTTTTTTGTGCTACTACACTCCTTTTAAATGCAAATGAAAGGTGAGATATAACTACCCTTTTTGAACATCTGTGAGATAAGCAGCAAAATGGAGTAAGGTGTGGGAAGAGCCACGTTTAGATGATCCTTTTATCCCATTCACTTCATTCATTGAGTTTTGAGGGTTGTGTCTGGGAATTTTTCAACTCCTTTTGTTGCCTTCAGAAGGAGGTACTGGGATAATTATCTTCAAATGCACTGTAAGAATATATTTGAAATGTATATCAAAAATACAGGATTCTTTCCCCTGCTTTCACCCAAATGTATATCCAGTAGAAAAAATCAATGTCTCTTGTTAGTATTATTCATCCAGAAGTCTATTCTGTTTCTGCAGAATGATTAGTAACACAACCTTCTGGTGGTATATGGACATCAAAACTAGATAATCTTTAACATAATGTTTGACTGGCACATTATAACAACTATTAATGAAGTGATAAGTGTTCAAAATGTTAATATGACATTCTGTAGTCTCCAAAATCTAAGGCAGATTTATAATGTGAAGATTACATGAATATATATGGCATTACATTATCAGCAGAATAATTCTGCTTTCACCCAAAATCAGACACATTCTGGAAATGTGTAACAGCTGGTACAAAACGAAAAACCTAGCTGGAGATAAGCTCTTCATGAAGTCAATGCAGCCTGCACAGGAAAGCAACAAGGAAACTAGCAACCTCCTCCTTTCTTGGCAAGCCAAGCTTAGCCAAGAATTAGTGTTGTTTCTTTGTATATCTAGAACTGAATGGCTTGTCTATTAAGACCTAAAATAATTTCAGCATTTTTCTTTCTATTAAGTTTGAGAAATTATGGTGTTTATGAACATTACATGAAAAATATCATACTATTTTAATCAATGTAACATATAATGTTTTCAGTAATTATTTTTAAATCAGGTTTGGTGGTGGTTGTTTGTTTTTTGTTTTGTTTTTGTTTTTTTTTAAACACCCCCCTACACACCTTAACACTAGTTCCTTTTCAGGTTTAGTTCTCAGGTCACTGTCCAACGATGAGATGATACAGAAAGATCTTTTTTTTTCAGTAAGACCTGAAAGGAAACTTAGTGTAAGATAAGTCTTAATCTTTTTCTTTTGGAACTTTTTATTCAAGGCACATAATTTGGGCAGAACTTATTAAGAGTGAATAATATTTGAGTTGTGTAACAGCTTTGGGTGGGACAGGATGAAAAACACTGTGGAGTAGAAGATCATCCAGGTTTAAGTAGGTCCTGCATAAAGAAGTTTAATATCTGGTTCTTGTTAGAGCCTAACTAAATACTTCCCATGTCCTGGCAAGAACACCAAACAGTTCTTTGCACCTGCTGAAACTGTTCAGACAGCCACATTCCTACTCCTCTGGCTCCTGAATGACCCAAGAGGAGAGCAGGGCTTCTGAGGGGTCTGGAGGTCCACCTGCACCTGTAGACAGCAAGCTTATGCTCCAGCCACTGGCACCTGAGATGTGGTTTAGCCACAGATTGTGCTGTTTGACTTAGTGCTAGAACCTCGCAGGAGCACTTGCACAACTAGGTACCTACAGGAGGCAAGCTAATAGGTCAACCATGCACCTGAGTGCAGTGCCTGCCATGCTATATGCTCATGCTTGACTGTGTCCTAACTTGGAAACAACAGCATCAGAGGACTGTCCTGGGCTTGTGCCTGAGTCCAGAAATGTTTAAATAGTCTTCATTGTGGGTTTTTTAATTTTTTTTTTTATACTCTAATCTGTCTAGTTCTTTGCATGACTCCCGTCACTGCATCTGATCATGGCCTAGGATTTGTGCTTTACTTGAAGATAGTGCATATACCAAATTACAGTGAGTGTAAAACTACTCATTTCACTTTTGTGCCTTTCTGAGTTTCTGGGCTGTAACTGGGCTGTAACATAGCATTGTTCCATAGGGAAGGATGAGGAAAATTTCTCAAACTAAAAATATAGCCTTAGAAAGTTCTAATGAAAATTCTGTCTTGGACTGTGAGATTACTTACAGTTGTCTTAATGAATGACAGATAATAAGTAGTTGAAGTCAACTGCATTTAAAATAAGTTTTCTGAATATATGTGCTAACTCTCTGTATCCCCTGTGATCAAAATATGGTCTCTTACCAATTCCACAAACAACAAAAGTGCTTAGTTCAGATCAACGACCCCAGCTTCATACTCCAGATCTTGAACAGAATGAAGGAGCTTGCAGGAAAAGCCTTCCACATGAAGACTTCCTAGACGCTCCTTCTGGGGACACTGGAGTTACTACTGGAAGAGCCACCCTAAACCAAGTGTCAGTTCTGTTGACTAAAAATCCATGACCACATCTTGACATTCTCTATAATTTTGGGTAGAGAACAACATAAAATCATGAAACCACCACCACAGATGCCTCTACTGAATCTCTGTTTTTCCCTCATCTTGTCTCACTCCATCCATCTCCAAGTTTAAACATCTAGTTTAAGCTGATTGTCCGGTGAATTTCAACCCACCCACCCAATATCTGTTTAAGATTGATAGTGACATCCCTCTCCACTGGCTGGAGAACAGGCCTACACAACCAGTGTAAACTCCTAACCTGACTTTATATAGTCGTAGGTGAGATGCACTTCACTGCCGCTCTCTAGTGGTATGAGGAAAAAAAATTAAATTGCTTCATGCTGATCTAAACTGTAACACGGTGGAGGAGTCTGGTTTTCAGATTTGTATTCCTGCCACTGCAGCTGTGGTCTGGGAACTGTGGGTAATTAGCTCCTCTGAAAACTGGGCTCTAAATACCTAGTAAACTATGTGAATTTAAAAAATAGTTGAAATTATGTGGAATCAGGGTAATATCCCAAACAATATCTGAATCTCTTTGTTACAGACTACAATCAGCAACCTTACTTGAAGTGATGCCTGGTAGTCAACATGTCTTTTCAGCTGTCTTACATTCTGTTTATTATGAACTTGAAGGCTATTTTTAAGTGCTTTCCTATAGAAAGCTAGAGAATGGGGAAAAAAAATTATTGGGAACTAATTTTGAATGAGGTTTTCTGTCTGCAACTAGTGTATTGCCTGTCTCAAATCAATTTTATTTAGTCATCCTCACAAATGACATTTTAAGGGAAGGAAGGAATGGAAATATAATTACAAGTTAGTCATAATACAATATGAATAATTGATATGTTCAGTTGTTAAATATTTATTTTATTAAATGGAGCATGCAAAATAGCCATGAGTTTCTCTTCTGACCAGAAGATTGTTTCTGTGTTTTTGACTCCTTGGAGCTTTACAGATTTGGCTTTTTTTAGTCTTGATTGGAAGCTGAAAGAATCTGATTGGTTTCTCTACAGAGCTCTGACTTGGAGCTCTGGCAGCATCCCAGAATATTTCAACCACTGCTGAACAAACCATTACACCTACCCGTATGGCTCATTTGGAATATGACCCACAAGCATGACTGGAGAAGCAGTCAGCTGTGCTTGTGAAAGGTGAATAGTCTGTTACAAGGGAGACCGTCTAAAATATATCTGTGGTGTCCGACCTGATCAGTCTTTAGGAAAGTGGTTATGCCTGCTTTCTCTTTTAAGTATTGTACGCTAGAGGAAGATCATGAAACTTGCATTATGTGCTAGTTAGGGGATTGCATTAGCACTCCAGGGCCAAATCCTGTCCTCAGGTCTGTATGTGTTGGTTTGAATTCATGAGTCTTGGGAGCTACTTGTATGTTCATCTGAGAAAGGAATTTATCTCTTTGAGTTGTATAGAAAGAGGTGCAAATTAAATTGGTATGGCTGTTAAAAATGAGGGAGTTCCTGGAGAACTGGTGAGCAAAACTAATTGTCATCTAACTTCACAGGTATAGGGAAATATTTTGAAATTGAACAGTTTAGGGCAATCCCTGACACCAGACAATTTCTCTTGCCAGTTTCAATTTAATCTTTGTTTGTTGGTGTCCTCTGGGGTGTTAAAGACTGTGGTATAAGGAACACATAGGAAATTAAAAACCTTGGTTTCATATAAATGTAGTCACAGGTGGAAGATTTAATTAGTAACTGATTCAGTGTGAAGCCAGTATAACTTGTGATCAGGCATATGTAAGTCCATGAGCCCTGATGTCATGCACCCACAAGTGCCGAGGGAGCTGGCTAGTGCCGCTGTGAGGCCGCTCTTGATAATGTTTGAACAATCGTGTCAACTGGGAGAAGTGCCTGAGGACTGGAGTAAAGAAGATGCCACTGCTTTCTTCAAGAAGGGCAACAAGAAGAACCTAGGGAGCTGCGGGTTGGTCAGCCTCACCTCAGACCCTGAGAAGGTGGTGGAACTACTAATCCTGGGAACCATATCCAGGCACATGAAGGACAAGAAGGTGATTGAGAGCAGTCAGTGTGGATTCACCAAGGGGAAGTAATGTTTAACCAACCTGAATGTTCTGCAATGAAATAAGTGGCTGGGTAGGTGAGGAGAGAGTGGTGGATTTTGTCTATTTTAACTTCAGAAAGGCTTTTGACACTGTCTCCCATGAAATCCTCATAGAGAAGCTGTTGAAGTATGGGCTGAATGAGGAGACAATGAGATGGGTTGAAAACTGGCTGAATAGCTGGGCTGAGGGTGATAGTCAGGAGTATTAAGTCTAATTGGAGGTATGTACTGTACACGCTACTCTAGTGTGTATACTAAGAGAGTAACCCAGGAATCAATACTGGACCTAGTCCTATTTGATATCTTCATTAATGATCTGGATGATGGGGCAGAGTGTACCCTGATGACATCAAACTGTGAGGAGTGCCTCATAAGCCAGAACATTGGGCAGCCTATGGAGTGTCCCACCCTAATGGAGGGACCTTGACTGGCTGGAGAAATGGGCTGACAGGAACCTCATGAAGTTCAATAAGAAGTGCAAAGTCCTGCACCTGGGGAGGAACAACCCCATGCACCAGCACATGCTGGGGGCTCCCCACCTGGAACACATCTTTGCAGAAAAAGACCTGGAGGTGGACACCAGCTTGAATGTAAGCGAGCAATGGCCCCTTGCAGCAAAGGGGGGCAACAGTATCCCAGTGACAGGACCAGAGGCAACAGGCACAAACTGAAATACAAGGGGGTCTGTCTGAACATCAGGAACACTTTTTTACTGTAAGGGTGATGGAGCACTGGCACAGGCTGCCCAGAGAGGTTGCGGAATCTCCATCCTTGGGGACAGTCAAAAGCCATCTGAGCATGGTCCTGGACAGCCTTGCTCTAGATGGCCCTGCTTGATCAGGGGGTTTGAATCAGATAACCTGCTGAGGTCCCTTCTAACCTCAACCATTCTGTCATTCTGTGACTATCATTAATCTTGTCTGAACTTTTATATTCTAGCCCAGCTGTTCTTGGTTCTGATAGCATTTCTTGGGCAGAGATTAATTTATAGGAGGGAGACGTAACAAAATGCTGATAGTGTAATGAAATTGAAAGATTAATTTAAATGTTTTGAGAAGGCAGTAATTCACATTTGATTGAAGCCTATCAGATCAAAAAATCAAACAGATGAAAAAATCAAATAAACTGAATGCTTTAATACAGTTGTGGGTGGTAAGTGTACAGTATCTGTGTACACAAAGTTGACAATTAGTTCAGCTATGTGTAAAGAAAAGTTCTCAGGAGTACTCTCATGAGAATTTTTTACATTAAGCCCTTGGAAACAGGTATTGGTGTGTGTTTCACATGGACGCTGCATAAAAATCCTTGTGGCTTATCAACTTGTTTACTTTTTTATGGTTTGAGGCTGTCTGGGTAAAAAGTGAGGTCTGCAGGTTTGGGATATCCTCTTGTGGAGCTTTTGTGGAAGTATAAAGGCTGAGAAGTCATGAAATGATAATGGCAAGGTCACATAAGCAGCCTTATATCTTACTGCTTAGCAATTTAATAACGAACTCTCTGCTGTTTCTGTGGGATTAACCCACCATTTCTGCCCACTGGACTGTCACTTCCAGAGTGCTTCTAATGGCATTCAATGGCCCAAATGTGGGATGGATTGCATCAGTGACTGAGGCTGTGTGTGAAATACTCCAAATATGGTTCCACGCATCTAGAGAGTTTCTGCTTCAGTTCAATTTGTTCTATATTTAAATAAGCTTGAAATATAACAAGGAAACCTCCTCTGTTTTCCAAAACTTTTTTGTTATGCTTGGCTTACTGTTTCATACCCACAGGTAATTTCTACTGGAAACGGCTCCGGGAGGACTTTTAATGTGGAATACATACATCTCTTAGGGGCTAAAGACTAATATTTTCACCCTAAAATGCTCTCCGTGGGAGGGAATAGTGACAGTTTGAAGCCTTCATGGGCCTCAGACAGCCTGGGGCCTTCCATAGTCATTCTGGATTCCCTACCTCCTCCAGCCTCAAGGTGACCAGAAGCTTCTTGGTTCCCACTGTTGGCTACCATCAGCTGAAAAGTGACTCCTGGACCCCTGTGCTGCTTCCTTCTCTCCTCCTTTGTTTTTAATATTGAAATACAAAAATAAAAAAGAAAACTGTGTAAACTGGAATAGTCTCACTTGTTGAAGTGGTGACTCCTTTTCTTCTTTTTCTACCTTGTTTTCTTGGTTGCTTTTCCTTGTACTCTTTTCTATGTGTATTTTATCTTTTCATCATCTGATTCTTATTGTTCTAATTTGTTTTCCTCCCAGCAAATATCCAGGCTTTCGGGGAGGCCAGGACACAGTCATGACCTGCTTGCATTCGTTCAGGAAAGACTTCCAGGCTTGGGATTGCATCCAGCATCCTTTCTCTCATTGCTGCTGCTTGAGTTTGGGTGGACCCTTAGATGTGGGATGGTCAGCTGGCACTGTTTTGTTTGTTTGTTTTTTTTTCCTCCCTCATCACACATGGTTTCGATATGATAAGGTTGTTTTTTAAGACTCATAGTACTGCATTTCTACTGCAAGTAAGCCAAGAATCCAAGGGATGAAAGGGGCTCCCAGGAGAGCCAGGAGGTGGCCAGGATGAGGTGTGTAGGTGGTGTGAAAAATACAGGCAACCTTGCTTTTTTCCTGTGTAATTCTGACCCAAGTCCTGTTCGCTGTTACATCAACAGATGTCTCAGAAGACTCCTTGTGTGTGATTTAATGTGCCACTTGGATGGAACAGCGTCTGAAGGCACCAGTGTGCCAGCCTGGCCAATTTTAGATAAGGTTTTGGTCACTCTGTCTTAGGCAGTGTTTATGGCTAGATGCCACACATTTACCACTTCTTTCCTTGCCTAAACATAATGAAAATAGGTTGTTTAAATGTCCAACTAAAGCATGTATGTGCTCCTACTCTTTTTTAACTAGTGCATCTGTGTTTATTGATGTCTTTTGTTTTTGCATTCCAGATCAAGATAGAGAAGGAGCTTAGCAGCCTCTACAAGAGAATGTTTGAACCTCTCCATGTGCCTCCAGACCTCTTCCAAAGACTAACTGGACAGTTCTGCAACATTCAGACTTTAAAGACAGGTCAAGCCTATGCTGCAGAAGATAAAACATCAGTTGATGATAGGTTAAGCATCCTGAAGTACGTTCTATAAAGCTCAGGGACAGTCTTGTATTTTGTGTGATGGTTGAATACATTTGAAAATTGTTGCGGTTTTTCTTAGGTTTTTAAATGTTATTGTTTGTAACATGTTATGGTCTATAGTCGAATAGTCTATAGGCATAGACTATTTTGTGACACTGTTTTCAAATGACAGTGATGTCTCTCCCTGGGAACATATTATGTCTCCACTGGTGTGTGCAGCTGCATGGATTTTAGTGGGAATTAGATTTGTACAATACAAAAGGCAGCATCTTCCAGAATGATCAAGAGATTTATTTGAATCTTAGCTAAGTCATCTTCTCAGTGCATTCTTGGGTTTTAAGGTTAAAAATATTGTGCATGAGGGAGGGAAAAAATAACTCTGCAGTAGATTTTAAAACAACAGACCTACTGGAGTTGATTCATTGCACATGTACATGCAAGCAGAGAGGGGCAGGTATGCTGCCCAGAGGCTGACAGGACCCAGGTGAGAAAGAGGAAAATAAATGCCCATGGCCAGGCTGTAATCTTGAAGCTCTCGCTCAGTTCTGACCAGTATTTTAACCAGTTTCTGTTTGGTAACAGGGGCATCAGTTTTGATAATTTTTCTTTGAAGTCATTGGCTGCTCATTACTGCAAGGCTAGTTACCTAAAGGCAGCCTGGTTCTGGTCTGTCTGTATAGCACAACCCTTTAGATCTCTTTAATTTTGCATAGCAATGTTCTGATGATACACACTACACACAGCAACTTGAATTGGCTAGCAGCCTGTTCTGCTTGGGGTAGGTGATCTGTGGAGGTTTAAGCAGAAATTAGGTTGGCTGATGGGCTGAAATTCCAGAAGATGAACATGGTTTTGCCTGTTGTGTGCTGCATTACCACTGTCAATAATCATACCCAAATTTAGATTAAACTAATCAATCTCTATGACTTTAAAATGTTGTTTCATAAATTTGTATTTCCAGAATGAAGGTGTCTTATCGAGGGCATTTTCTGCATAATATTTACCCCTGTGCCTTTATAGATTCTCCAGAATTTCGATCAACACAGATGAACCGGGGTGAAAAATTCCAGGTACACTTTGGATTAAATGTCCCTGGATATGAGCTGATGAGATCATTAAAAAACACAGTATAAATTTGATCAACAGTGAACTAACTGACTTGCGTAATTTTGCTGGTTTTCTAGTACTGGTGTTTCATGATGGACCATATCAAGAATAACTTAAAATTAAATACTGCAAAACGTATTATGATGGTGTTCACTGAGCAGTCTGGCTTCTGCTGTTCTGTTCTCTTTTACTGTTTCCAAGTTTCTTTTGTGTTAAGAGATTATTTGGGACAAATAATTTAAGAGAGCTTTACTGGAAAAAGAGATGATGTGAGCCGTCTCATCACTGTTTCAAAAACAGAAAAGAGAAAAATAATTATTGCAGTATTTGGTGTTACTAAAACGAAAGGCTAAAAATTCAGGCACTAGTAGTTTGAAATTGGTATTTATCTAAGCGTAATAACGCTTTCATTTTGAAAGCTGTTAAAGCAATATAAGCTGAGACCACAGTATTCTGAATAAATACTTTCATATGGGAAATAATAAGGGTATAAGTCTCTGGCAGTGTAATTATGCTAGTACATTAAAGGATATATTATACTATAGCTTGTGGGGAAAAATACTGTTAGAGAAGTTGGGTTTTTTGCATAGTACTGAAATGGCTGTTTTGCTGCCTCTTACTTGTTGTTCTTTAACTGGGTATGTGTAATGATGACTGGGCAGTGGCTGGCTGAGTACATCCACGCTGATACCGTGGCAGAAGGGGAAGGAGGGAGAGCGACGTAGACTCTAAAATCAGTGATTGATGTCATATGTTTTAGTCAAATGGTAGGCTTAACGCCAAGGAGACAGAGTTGTCCAGAGGCGTTCACTGCGCAGCAGTGAGGCATTCTGCAGCATGGCCACCCTCTTGGTACAGCCTGTTTCTCTCATAAGCGACTGGGTCCGAATTGGTCCCTCTGAAGGGAAAAGGCTCATGCCTCAACTTCTGCCTGCCTTTAAAAATTATTGTCATCTGGTGCAGTGTCCATCCTTCACTCGTGATTTCTGCTTGTTATTGTTGTATAAACGCTCTCGGCATTGCTGTTGCAAGAGGACACGGATTCAATCTTACGGACCCCATCTGCTGGCAATGCTGCCAAATTCTTCCTCAGCCCGTGTGCTTGTATTACAGACCTTGAAGTTAAAATCCATGGATACATGACAGTTTCCCATTATTTCTTAGGCTTTATATAAATTTTTAATCTTTCAGGAGCTAACATTAGCTTGTAGTAGCAGAGAGCACCTGATTTCTTCATAGGTGTCTGAATTCCCTTGCAAAACACGCCGCTGGGTATCACCGAGCAATGCAGATGTCGTTGTGCCATTGCTGTCTGTCGGCACTGGGGGATGAACCTGGCAGGTCCAGCTGCCCTGGGGAGGGTGCCAGCGCCTCTGTAACTATCGACAGCAGAATTATAGATAGAACTGAGCAAACAGGGCCTTAGCTCAACTGCTAGGAGGTGGTACCTATGGGATCAGCAGGGCTGATGGTGAAGAGAGAAAGGTGAAACTTTAAAAAAAAAAAAGTCACTAAAAAACTCTTAGATAGAGACCTTCGGATTATACCAGTTTTTCCTGTTTGGTGACAGTGACATAAAATAAAACTAAGCAACATGTAGGCCTGTTGGGATGTGAGTAGTGTCATCACTGTAGGACTGACTTTACATGTAAATGTCCTCTAATGTAAATGCTTCTACAGTTTGTAACATATTTTCCTCTAATATCTCCCCCCAGGTTTTCTGAAAAACAAACTGGTGATGCTTATCAGTTAAAACTGAGGATAATAAAATCTAATATGTTTTACATTTGTAAATATCCCATTATAAGGGCTACTGAAAAGTTTTATGGCTTTAGGAGTTATTTTAACTAGAGGCACTAATAAAATGGTATCACTTTTTCTAAAGCATGTTTAAATGTGCTAGTTTTAAAGTATTTTTTAAATGTGCTAATTCTGAGCATGTATTTTCTCAGGTCACCATTATTGCAGATGATAACTGCAAGTTCCTGTGCTGGTCCAGGGAAAGGCTGACTTACTTTCTGGAATCTGAGCCATTTCTTTATGAGATCTTTAAGTATCTTATTGGCAAAGATATTACAAATAAACTCTATTCATTGAATGACCCAACCTTAAATGACAAGGTAAGCAACTAAAGTTTAGTTTGGGAATTTCTCCCTCCAGCCTTCCCCAAATGTAGTATTACTTCAATTTTAAATCCTCTTAAAGCACTTTTTTTTTTTAACCTGCTGCTATCAGCTGCTGAATTCACAGTCATTGCCTTTTAGTGCCAAAGTACGAGTCAGCACAACATTTCTATCAGAAGCAATGTTGGTTAAAGTTAGCCTGGTAATGTGGAAGACAGATGAATAACTGAGATTCAAAACTGACTAACACAAATATTTCTAGCCAACTAGTAGACGTGATAGCTGGTTGCTAAAAAGTGCTTGTCCCTGGATATCCTTTCTCATTAATAAATGGGTGCCTTTGTACAAAGAAACTTTAGGGTTTTCTCTTAAAGACCTTGCTTGATGGGGTCAAACAACAAGGTAATGTTGATTGCCAAGAAGAATAATTTTAGCATGTGTTTGAGAATTGCAAATACCAAAAAAAAACCCACCACGTTTGGTTGACATGATCTAGTTAGTGGAAGGAGGTATGAAACACATATAACATAAATAAATATACATACATATAAAATATTCAGTGGTCTGAATATAACTCATTTTTTTTGCAGGTAGAGGGAGTGTGTTTTAGGTGTCACAGTGAGTGGTTTGGGTGTAGTCTTGGATATATTGATTATCTTTTTCTACTTTCTACGTTTTGTCTCCTTACTTAGTTACATGGCTTTTCAAGATTTGGACAGTAGCTTGGCTCCTGGTGGCTTTTTTTATTATTTATGTAGTAGCTGTAGGGTTCTCATATATAATTTATTTGAAGAACTTTCACCACTATTTGCAAAAAGCTTTATAATTTTATAATACAGTATTTTTATATTCTGTCTGTACTGATTTAAATCACACTAACTCAGAGCAAAAATCCTTCCCATCAGCTTGCCTCTAAATATCTAATATATAGGTTAAATTGTTACTTCTGCAAAGTTGTGAATTTACTGGTAAGTGATCCAAAAGGGATGACTGCCAATGCTACTATATCACAGTCATCAGCAGGCTTTACTTGTAGTGTCTCCATGGCTAATTAGACATCGTAAATTTTTCTAATTTTCTACTGGCTATAGAAAGAGAAGAAAGAATTGTTGGAGAAACAATAACAATAAAGCACTACTTATTCTGCCCTCTCGTCAGTGAAATAGAGGATTACACTGTCTTGCAATCAGATCCTCAGAACTATTTCGGATTACTGTTTTCATCCTGCTAATGCAGTAAGATAAAAGTGATCTAGTATCAACTATAAAACACATCTTATAAAGAGTGTGATTAAAGCTGCTTTCTTTTTTCATATAAAAAGGAATTACATGGGAATGTTCTGTAATAAAATCCACATCTACATAGGTAGTAAATAATTTCTGAAGTATGGCATCTGAAAGGAACATGTAGTGACGTGCCTCCTGTGTGTGCATTCACACTGCCTCTCCTGGGAGACTGCTGTTCTCCACACTCCTTCTCACCTTGCCTTGTCAATTTTTTCCCTCTTTTTCCTTCTTTCTTCTATTTTTCTGTTTTCTTTTTTCTTTTTTTTTTCTGTTTTATTTTCTTCTCCTTTTTCCTCTTTCCTTCCCTCATTTTCTTTTTTTTTGGATGGATGGATGGATGGATGACAGCATTAGGGTGTCATGCCTAGCATACAAAGTCATCTGCAATAAACTTGTGCTGCTGACTTCTGGCACTGTAGAGCTTCAGCACTAGTATATATATTTCTTGAAATGGAAGTATAATAAAATATTGATTGTAAGGTGGCGATTTATATCATACCTTCTAAGTGTTAAAAAAAACACACCAAACTTTGCTCCTCCTTTGTCTTATCATCTGCACACTTTTATAAAAATAACAGCACAAGCATTTGTCATCAGTACATTAGTTTTAGGCTTCCTCGCAAGAGTAGTGAGTTCCCCTTCTATCTCCTTCCTTCTAAACCCCCTGTTGTGTTGCAGCTATAGGTATTGCTGTTATCGAATGGCAGTCCTTACTGTTTGAAAGGCTTAGTTGGATTAGTGCTGTGTTGTGTGTGCACAGCCTGGAAGATCAAATGGATGTCCAACCTCTTGGGCTGAGATGGAGGCTGAAAGGGACTTCCTCTTTCTGTACTTAACCTGTCTGTGTTTCCCACTGCATGGTTCAAATATGGCTATATAATGTACAGACAAGTCAGTATGAATAGAAGATGAAAATCCTGTTGCACGAGCCCTTCCTACGTAATGCAGGACAAGAACTGCCTGTCCAGTAAATTCTGATTCATTTCCCTGTTGCCAGCACCCTTGGCATGCCCTTTCTCATAGGCTTCATTGTCAAATACATGTATTACTGGTGTCTTAATGCTTTTTATCTGGTGACAATCTCAGCAGAAAATTTTGTAGTGGACTTCCATGCATGGGTGACATGCAAGAGAACTAAGCCAACTCCAGTATAGATTATTCATAATCAAGTTGATAGTAAAAAGGTAATAATATAAATTCATTGTTATGTTGGAAAACAGAAAAGTATCCATTTATTTGTAAGGAACGTTGTGATTTTCTCCTACCTAAGAAGATTTTCACTAATATTGGGAAAATAATCATTCCTCTCAGCATGAAATAGGATGCTAATTCCTGACAAAGTTCAGTAAAGTGGAGTTACCCATTATTACTACCTTTCACATACACCTAAAATAGTATTCTGAGTTGCAGTAATACTTAACAAGGTACAATGTATGGTTTCATATTAATGCTATGGTACAAAGACTTCTCAAGAAGACTACTCAAAGCAAATGGAAGCTCCTGAGCACTTGACAGGAAGAGGAGAATGTTTATATGATGCATTTCATCTGTCTTCAGTAAAATCAAGAGCCAAATGAGCATTTACTAGGAAGGAATTACATTCACTGTTTTCTAACATGATGAAATTAAAAGGCAGGAAAGTGAACAAGTTTATGTTAAGATATAAATTGCTAAACTCTATACATGGCACGCTCTCTCATTTAGCCAGGAGGACCAGGCTCATCATAAAGGCTGTATTTAATTGCAGAGCATCGTATCTGAATAAAGAATTACCAAATAATAAAAATCAACCTTTCGGTAGGAAAATACATGAGAAGTCCAGTGCAAAACACAATTAAAATTTAGTAACTAATCTGAAGTTTCATGCTTGTCAGTGTTCTAATTCCAATATATTACTCGTATCTTCTATTTTAATTTAAAAAAATTTACACTGCATAGTATCTTCTGGTCTAACCAGCTTCTTGGTTCATGAATAGCCACAGCTGAGACTAGACCATCTGCTACAGAGGGAATAGTTATTTTCATTTACTTGATACTTTTTTTAAAAGAATAATTATGTATTTTTTTTAGGCTTCAAAAAAGATTGATCGACAGCCTAGTCTTTGCTCGCAGCTCTCTGTGATGCAGATGAGAAACAGTATGGCCAGTACCAGTGACAGTGAGGATGGCTTGCAGATGTTTCTTCGTGGGACTTCCTCTGCATCCTCTCTTCGTGAGTGCTCAAAACAGTTTATGCCAGTTTTGAATAGAGCTTGGTTGATCATTAGAGATGATTGTAGAACTCCTATTTTCTTCAGTGGGAGCAGACTGTAGCTTTTTGGATGCTGCTGTACATCAGCTAAGTGGAGGGACCTAACTGTAGGGAATTCATAAGGTACATAAGACTTAGTATGCTAACTCAAGCTACCTCATGTAGATAGTGGCAAAAAAACAGTATGTATTGTAATAATTTTTGTCATAACGTGAATGTGTAGGCACAATATGGAATGTTTATAGCAATGGGGCAAAACTGTGAATGTACAATGCCTGTCACAGTAGTATCTCCTTTGGTCTGTGACTGGTGCTTGTAGAAATTAAAAACCCAAACAAAACTTTTTCTCTCAGCAACTTGGTGCTCTGCATTTCCTCCTGAGATAGTTTGTATTGGCAGGGTCTGGAGAAATGTGTTGTACAAGCAGTATTTTGATGCCACCTGGTAAATCTCCAAATATCCTGTCAGGCTCTCCTCCAGTGCTTTGTATGACAGGAGTAGTAGAGAACAGATAAAATGAGGCAAGAAGCCATATCTGACTCTTTGCTTCTACTCTTGGAATTTACTTATTTATAGAAACCTTCTAAACAATTATTTCTAGGCTATTGGGTTTTTTTACTTTCAATTTTCCTGAATCTCAACTTCAACAGTAGCTGGAACTCTGGAAGCAGTTTTTGAACAAAAACCCCAGAAGATGCTAAATTTTCTGATTTGGCATAAGCTGTTAGTTTAACAGAAATTAAAAGGATCATATAGGATTCTTTGTTTTGATTTGGGAAATATTATTCTTTAGTAATTAGAATTCAAATATATGAGGGAAAAAGTCACTGCCAGTTAGTTATTATGGTTAAACTCTCTGCTAAGAAGAGAAACTGACTTAAAGTATTTGCACTTTCCCATTTAATTATCTGTTCTCCATTGTGTTCCTCACAGTTCTCATCCAGCAACTCTTTCGGATTTAGAGGGCCTCTCTGTTTTCACTCTTTAACATTGTTGTAGTCTGAATGCCCAGATAGATGGGAGCAAAAGCCCTGCTAGTGCTTCACCCTACTAGAATGTCGAGGGTGACAGCTGGGATACAGTTTGATGAAAATTCTAGTGTTGTTTTCTTTATTTCTACTCCCTGAAAGGACATTTAGAATCACAGAACAGTTGAGGTTGGAAGGAACTGCTGGAGATCACCTAGTCCAACCCCATGTTCAAAGGAGGGTCAGCTAGAGCAGGTTACTCAGCGCCATGTCCAGTCAAGCTTTGTATATTTCCAAGGTCAAAGATTTCTCTGGGCAACCTGCTCCAGGGCCTTACCATCCTCACAGTGAAAAAGATTTCCCTTATTGCAACTCATGACTGTTGTCCTTTGTTCTTTAGTGCATGCGTCTGAGAAGAGTCTGGCTCTGTCTTCTTTATACCCTTCCATTAGATAGCCGAAGACAACATTAAGAACCCATGAGAACCTTCTGTTCCTAAGGCTGAATATGCCCAGTTCTTGCAGCCTCTCCATGTACATCATGTGCTCCAGATGCTGACCATCTTGGTTGCTCTCCACTGCACTCAGTCCAGTATGTCCACGTCTGTCTTGTACGGGGAAGCCCAAAACTGGACACAGAACTCCAGGTCCTGTCTCGCAAGTGCCAAATAGAGGGGATTAATCTATTTCATTGACCTGCTGGCTGTGCTTTTGCTAATATGGCCCAATATATGCTTCTAATATGGCCCAATGTTAGATGGATGGCCTTCTTCACTGCAGGGGCACTCTGCTGACTCATATTCCATTTTGTGTCTACCTGGACCCCCAGGCCTGTTTGTGCAAAGCTGCTTTCCCACCCTGTGAACTCATCAGTCAAGCAAATTTTGTACCCAAGCTGTAGTCCAAGTATCCAGTCCATTTCTCACCCATTTGGCTAGAAGGATTCTATGGCAGGCTGTGGAGGCCTGTGCTACAGTCCGAGTAAACAACATCCACTCTACTCCCCATCATCCGCAATGTCTGTCGTCTCACCACGGAAGGTGGTCAGACTGATCAGGCACAATGCCCGTGATACATCCATGCTGAATGTTCCCAGTCACCCTCCTGTCCTTATGGCTTCCAGGAAGATGGGCTCCATAATCTTCCTGAGGACTGAGGTTAGGCTGATAGGCCAGTAGTTCCCTGCATACTTCTCCTTGCCCTTCATTAAAATGGCCATGACATTGGCCTTTTTTTCTCTCCTCTGACAGCCATGACCTTTCCAAGATGATAGAGAGAGGTCTTGCAGTAGCATCATCCAACCCTCAGCACCCTTGGATGGAGCCCATGTGATTCCACATTCTTGTGTTTGTCCTGTTGATTTAAGCAGTCTCCAACTCAATCCACCTTTCCTGTAAGACAAGTATTGCTCTCCCAGTCTCTACCACTAGACTTGGAGAACTGGGAGGCCTCAAGAAAAACCTGTAAAGTAAAAACTGAAACAAAAATGTTATTAAATATCTCAGCCTTTTCCATGTCTGTAGTTCCTGTGCCCCACTGAGCCATGGCCTCACAGTCTCTCTGGTCTTCCTTTAGTTGCTGATGTACTTGTAGAAGCCATTTTTGGTGCCCTTCACTAGATCCAGGTCCAGCTGAGCTTTGATTTTCCTGATTCCATCCCTGCATGCTTGGGCCATGTTCCTGTATTCCACCCAAACAGCTCATCGATGCTTCCACTTCATGTTTGTGTGTTTGAGCTCTGTTAGGACTTTCCTGTTCATCTATGCCAGCCTTCTACCACGCTTGCTCAACTTTCTGTACACTGGAATGGACTGTCCTTGTGTTTTTGAGGAAGGTGTCCTTGCAGATCAGCCATCTGTCCTCAGGTTCCTTTGCCCTTGTAGGCCATGTCCCATAGGTTTCTGTCGGGTAGATCCCTGAGCAAGCCACAGTCCCCTGTCCTCAGGTCCAGGGTTGTAACTCTACTATTTGTCTTGCACGCTTCTCAGTGTCCTAAACTCCACCAGCTCCTGGACACTGCAGACAAGGTTACCATCAGCCTTCAGCTCCCTGATGAGTTCTTCCTTGTTCATCAGTGACAGGTCCAGCAGAGAACCTCTCCTAGTCGTCTCATTGACCACTTCTGGGAAGAAATTATCTGCTACACTCTCCAGACATCTCCTGGACTGCTTGGGCCCGCCCTGTTGCCTTTCCAGCAGATACTGGGGTGGTTAAAGCCCCTCACGAGTACCAAGGCCTGCAATCAGGAGGCTTCATCCAGTGGTCTAAAGGCTTCCATCTGCTTGCTCTTCTTGGTCAGGCAGCCTGTAGCAGTTACCTGCCACGAAGTCTCCTGTGTTGGTCTGTTCTCTGATCTTTACCTGTAAGCTCTCGACTGGCTTTTCACCTGTTCCACAGCACAGCTCCATGGAATTGAAGCCACTCCTTTGCATAGTGCACCCTTGGACAAATTTGCACTCAGAAGCCTGAAAGAGATTGTAAAACTGTGTTTGTGCAATTAACTAGAATTAAAATTCTTTTTCAGGCTTAGCAGCAGAACACTTAACACCAGTATTTCAGCTTTGGGAGAAAGTATTCTAAACACATGACATGTTCAGCTGTAATTACATTAATCCCTAAGATGCAGCCATGCTTAGAACATGCTTGATAAATACACTTTTCTCTGTTGTACTTTTCCATGGTTTGTGTATTATATTTTCTGGTGTATGGCATGTACTTTCCCCAAAAGAGGGGTTTAAATACATTTTATGATCTGAAGTTGCTCAGTCCAACAGTGGTTGGTGTAGTTGATACTGCCACAGCCACCATCCCAGTGGCAGCAGTAGGTGTGGCAGCAGCCCTCCTGGTCCAATACTTCCCTTACTTTTGGGGAGGCAGGGGGATTACCCATACAGCAGTGTATCATACACCTTGGGAAATACCGTCATTTATTTCTCCTTTGCATTTTGATTAATGCGAAATTTCTGACTTCTGTAAAAGGTTGATAAAAATTATTGATAAAAGGTTGTTTATCTCACTAAACTGTAACGCTTCAATCTTTCTTCTTGCCAAAATAGCTTGTTAGTTATTCCTGGGTACTGTCATTGCCAATGATGGGTTTGCTACCAAGGTGAGCTCTGCTTAAAGATTTGTATTCTATGTGGATTGTAGCCATATATGCACTTTTCCTCAGATCACAGAGAAGACTGAAGGAAAAAGCTGCCATTTGCCTTCGTGGTGTTGTGTTTTCAAAAACCTTCTCCTGGGTGCTCTCAGTGCAGCAGTCTTTTTTTTTTTTTTTATATCTGTTTTTTAAGACTCAGGATGAGGTACATGCTGAGGCATGCTGTCCCAGTGCTGTTCCCCTGGATGTTCCTTCTGCAATCATGTATTTGTTTATTTAAAAACAAACAGACAAACAAAATCCAAAACCCCTCAGAAGATTTAGTGAGGAATATGTGGAAATTACTTTTTTTAATTAGAAGAAGAAATTAATAAGAGAAACTTATCTGTACAGGCACTCTACAGGAATACTGACTTGTCATCACTGGGTGATTGGTTGTTGTATGAACAAAAGCTTCCCATTACAAATATGATGTTTGACTACTACAGTACAAACAAGTCTCATTCTCCCAATTTCCAAATTCTTGAAAAATTGAGCATTTATATTTTTTTATAATCCAAACTTTTTAATTATGTTTTTGTCTGTGCTCCAAACTATCAGCTTTGACTCATTTTCTAATGAAATTAATATAAAGGTTTTTTTGAAGTGTTTAGCAGTGAAAGAGTGAAAAATACTAATTAGTAGATCCCAAACTATGATTACTAACAAAACTGTGATTTGAATTTAATTAACTAAGAAACCCAACTAACTGTTCGCTTTTGTATTAAGGAAATAACCAGCAAGAGTTCTATAATGCTTATGGAGTGAGTCGTTTGCAGCATGGTGTTTTCTGTTGATAACATCACATTAACTCAGCAAGCATCCTCCAAAAGGTATTAAAGTGGGATTTGTTTGTCACGTGGTACTTGTGCTTGACATCTGTGATCCATCTGTATGTATTTGTTAGTAAATGGAGTTGATGCATCTCTTTTTCCAAAATTTGATTTAAGCAGAAATAGTTCAACCTGATTGCAAGGGTAGCTTCACCTAACTTTCAGTCCTTTAAAAAACATTTCAGTATTAGTTTCTATTCAATAATTCTATTGCTTGATAGTCCTTCATATACTTATTATTGATACAGTCTCTTCTTCTATGCTGCTTGGTTTAGATTACCCAGATGAGCTGGTCTATGAGTCTGTGTTTGCAAACTTCTAAACTAAGCAAAAAGTTTTGATTTGGTAATGCTTTTATTGGTATTATCTCATTATGTGTGCTCTCTCTGTTATACTCAGCCTGTGGTTAAAAGCAGGACTGGGTTTCATGGGAAATGCCATCTTAATAGGAGTTTGGGCTTAGGTCCTCTAGAGAGGGCAGCAGAGTAGTGTATGGAAGACCTGGGTTCAAGGTCTGAATCAATCTCTTGAACATCTGTCCAACACTGGATAGAGCCATCAGTAGACAATGCTTTTGTATTTGGAGGAAATAAGGGCATGTCTTTGAACTAAAGAACTTGACAATATTAGATCTTATATTGGATCCTGTTGAACAGACTTATGGCTTCTTATTTCTGGAGAGAACTAAGCAATTTTAAACAAAAGAGAACCAGTCTAATAGTGGCAGTGAACTATACTGATATAAAAAAATCTAAAAAAAAAAAAAAAACCCTGAAACTGTGATCCAGCATTTTCAGGCATCCTTTCACCTTTGAGTGTAATTTGTTGGTGTCTCCGAACAAAGCCAATTTTATATCCAAGTGTACCCACAAACCTTGGACTTAGACAGTTAAATGGACTATTCATCACTTGCTCAGGCTGTAAAGACCCACCTGTGTGAAATGAAGTGCTTAACAATTCCAGTGTTTAAAAATGTGTTTGAGTAACCCTTTATCATGGCAGTTAAAGTAGTTATTGAATGTCAAAAGAAAATACTAATACATTTTTAACATGAAAAGTTCTAAAAAGTTAACTCCAAACGATGTTTGTGTGAATGCAGTAGTAAGGTAACCTGCTGGTTTTGCCAGTAGCTGTATTTTGTTCTTTGTGTGTAACATATGCAGCACAAAGGAGTCCTCCTTCATAAATAAGCTTCCTTAGCAGACCACTTCACTGTATGTCTGATGAACTTCATAAGAAGTTCATAAGAATAACCCTGCAATAAGAGTATGTTAGGCTATCAGTGGTTTCTTTTCAAGAAAATTGGAATTTTTAGCTAGTATACAGATGACCTGTCAGATAAGACCGCTACCTCTTGCTCATTTATTCTAAAACGGTATTTCAAAGATTTCTCTATTCTTTTTGGTCATCATATTGTAGCTGTTTTCAACCTTCTACCATTGTGGTGGTTTAACTGTAGAAGAGGGTCCTGAGAGAAAAAAATGTCCAAATACAGATGAAATTTTGGAGTGGACAATGGGAAATAAACCTGTTTGGCTGATGTAAAAGGAGGTCTCTGGTTAAACCCTCATTTTATTTAACTATAATAGAGGCAGTTTGCAGCGGTAACTTGCACAAAAACTCCATTTAATCTCTGATCAGCAATGGCTTTTGTGTGCGCTCTGCTCTGGCAAGCTTTATGAGTTGCTGCTTTTCCTAAAAGATTGTCTTAGAGCAACGAAATAACTTTCAGCCAAATGTTACTTGGCCTTCACCCGTTAATCTTGTTTTCTCTATGGCTGTTTATGGGGGTACTGTATTTTCCATAAGTTTTACCTTATTATGCTTTTAAGGCAGTTAGGGCTGTGATCAGGTACCCGCCTGAGGTTTGCCCAGTACAACAGCGCATTTTTTCACGGTTGAGGCAAGTGTGCAAATGTACATGCCTTTTGTGTTGAACGATTCATATCGTCGTTTGTGGAGAAGAACTAGTTGGGTGAGTGTCGTGGTGAGAAAATGATCACCAGGGTCACAGCACTGGGCACCTCAGGATTTGCAGTCAGTTTGGGGACAATCCCATGCCTGTGGCCGGCCGCAGGGTTTGAACCTCAGAGGGACTGCGGGTTCATAGCAGCATGGCTGTCCCACATCCAGGATTTCCTGATGCCTGTGGCCCATGAACAAAGAAACCTTCACTTACAGAATCCTCTCATGAGGGAACTAGGACAGGATCATCAGATCGTGTACACTTTGTCACAGATAGGCATATGGTAGCCGGTATGCATTGTTAACTGGTATTTTCTTTGTAACTGTGGCAGGTCCAGGCCGGACATCTCCCTGCCTGAGAACTTCGGCAAAAATGAAGCCAATAGAGGAAAGTGTTGAGGATGATGTCTTTGAAACACCTTCTGCTGATAAGTTGGAGCTCCGGCAGCTGCCTTAAACAGATGTGTCCTCAGGCAGATCGGAGCTTGTACAAGGCTCCAGTACAAGAGGAAGAAGCTGAATTTGGGAGGAATCTGAAAGCTAAAACCACCTCTCTGGGTTTGAATTTATCACAGCATATGTCAGTGGCTTCTAGATGGAAATGTCACATCTTATTTTACTTCTAAATTAAAAAAAATTTTTAAAACCTAAAACTTTTATGAGTTTTATTTTTGTTTTCTAGACATGGGTATTTGCTTTATTTCTACTTTGATTCTTGCCATCGTAAAGTTTCTTAGAAGCTTGTATCTTAGTGTTTTTCAGTGGGAGATTTTGAAACTACATTTCCAAAGCCATGTTGCTGTTACCTACCATCACAGTTGCAAGAGTCTCATGTGAAATGGCACATACTCTTCTGCACCTACTGGGAGGTATTAGCCTCCAATTCTGGCATTTCTTCACTTGACTGCTTGACTCTACAACTGTAATAATGACTTCAATTTTTTTTTGAATGTTGCCTTTCCAACCTTTTTCTTCTTTAGGTAACTGTATTACACAGTTAAGCAAACACTTCTTTTTGTTTACAAGACAAAGTCTAACAAAGGACCAACGAGGTCACATCTATGCTACGCAGCCCCTCTGTGCCAAACACATATCTCTCTTTACAAAGCTGTGACAGGTCTGCTGCCTCTCAAGGAAAAGATGCCCATTGTGGTTTCTTGATTTAGTTTTTTTTTAAGATGGGCAAAACAATATGTTTTTCCTTAGTCCTATCTGTGGATTGATTGAGCTGTTCTGGATTAATCTTTCCACATGGCAATACATGAGGTACAAATGACACTTGATTTAGGAAATCCGGTTCAAACTCTCAAGACTGGGTAGCTCAAGTACAGTAAAGCACAGCCTCATAATGGGAGGCATTGGGGAGCCTTTATAACAAGCACTTGTAGCAGTCCTGTCTGTGATACATCGATGGCAACTGTCCTTCTGTGCTTTGACAATTCTTGAAATTTGATATGCAACAAATAGTATATTTTAATTAAACATAATGGCAAAATAGATACTACTCCATTTATTGAATTGCACAAAACTCCAACACATACAATAATAGAAGTTTGGCATAAACTCTCAAGCAATCAGAGGTGTCAGAGTCTGGTTTTGGTCTGCTTTCTGTCACTCCATTCTAAATTCTAAAATTTATCTTGACAAAGCATCTTTGAATCCGCCTCTGTCTGACTTATATAACCCGTTCATTCCCCCCTCAAAAGCTTGTGCAATATCAAAATGTGCAGATACACAACTGGAAGTTTGACCTGCATTGTCAGCAGTCCTGCTTTTGTGAATTTAAATCCAGTGTTTAGTATTACATCAATATGTCTTGTGGTTTGGTCAGTTCTGCATTATTAAAAATGTCGCACTGATGTGAGACATACTTACAAAATTAAATAAAATTAAGTGTAAATAGATGTAAAATATCTTTGTGCCACACATATGCAAAAGCAAGAACATTGGCTTCTGTTGGAGTTGATGTAGTTTATCATCTAAATCTGATTTGATGTTATCAAGGTCTTTATATGTAGAAAATAGGAAGTCCTTCTGCAGCTGTTGCAACTTAGGCACAAATATTTGTTGGAACAGCTTTTAAAGCCCCTGGTTTGATAAACCAAAAAGAAAGGCAGAAGAAGGTGTGAGTCTACTGGGGTACAACTGGGATTCAGCAACTCAAACATAAATGCATATTTGAAGTTAAACCACATTTTTAGTATCTGATTGTCAAATACTAGCAACTGAACAGATTATTCCATGAACAAAAATACAGTAGAAAACAAGAACACTGAATATATTAGAAAAATATGAAGCATTGTCCATGCAATAACATACATGCCAAAGGAGAAATATGTATCCTCTTATCTCCAGCAACTGCTTGGTGTAAAGTTAGAGTTTTCTGATATCATGTTTCTTTTAATTAAAATAATACCTTAATGAAAACATTATAATAGGATAAATTATAGAAATATAGGCTTATTTTGGTTGAGACCTCTGCAGGTCATCTGATCCAGCTGCCGGCTCAAAGCAGGGTCAACTTCCGAATGAGTGGAGATGTTGTAACAATGGAGACAAAAACTAAAGTGCTGCTACAGGAACATAGCTACATGTGAGGATCATATGTCTAAAATGCTTACCTTCCTTTTGGATTGTAACACAGACAGGTTTTCTAAATAAAACAACTCTGTATATTTTTGCAGGTTTTACAAAAGCTGTTCCAAGTAGTAGATTATCAAGCCGTGTAAGTAATGCAATGGTGGGAGGCTCTCAGGTCGGTGTGTGAAGGCTTCCTTGCTTTGGGCAGCAGTTTCAAGCTCTGTATAAGAAATGACATTTTACTCCCGTTCCAGATAAAATGATCCCTATGGATAAAATGTGCCAGTCAGAAGAAGGATGCTGCTACACAATTTTTAGCAGTTAGGACTAGCAAAATCACAGAACAAACTCATTTGACCATGCTAAAAATACGCAAAAAACCTCTCATCCTTCCTGGATTACAACCAGAAGATCTTTTGTACGTAGGAAACAGGTGCATCATTGGTTCCGTGTCTCAAGGACAGTGACTGTATCTCTGAGGTTGCTTCTTGACTACTGTGAGAAAGGAGGAGAGGAAATGGGAATTCTTTTACTTATGAGGAGGTATAGGGAGCTATGTCCTTGTCCTGATGTAATTTTCTCTAACTTCTGCTGGTTTTCAGACTCCTTTGAAGAGGAAAACCAAGCTGGTAGGATAGAGCTCATATAGTTTAGCAAGTGAAGAACCAGAAAAGCAGAGGAGCTGAAATAAAAACAGTAGTTTCCTTTTTTCTTCTTCCCTCTCTATCAGAATAATTTATTACGTATTGTTATAAATTCAAGCAATATTCAATGCCTGGAGAGACTGCATCTCCTGAACAGGATTTTCTTAAAAATCAGGGAGGCTCTGCAGGAGCTCTGTGTGCCAGCTGCGTATTCGCAGCCTCAGGACTGCCTCTTGTCTGCTGGGAACAAGAGCCAAGTCATCTTTATGCCTGCAAAGCATCACACATACTAATGATACTAGAGCAATAACACTGCAAATAATGGTAAATAACTGTTAGTCTACTGAAGACAATACATTTTATTACCTAAAAATAACTAAATAGGTATTTTAAAATTCATGATGAATGGGTAAAATGAACAGCAAATAACTTGAAAAACACAACTTGCTGCTTACCCCTGTTCCTGTTGTTTCAAATAGAGTTGTTATGGAGACAACAGAAGTTAAAACAGACTGTAGCCTGCTCTTCTGTACTGAATGAGGCACTCCTTCCAATGGCTGTTGCAGAACATAAGGAAAAGCATCCTGTAATAATTCAGATATAAAAGATGAGTGTTTGTGTGCATGGGTAGAAGATGGGCTGTAAACCCATTGGCAGCTCATTTCAAGGTGTGACCAGTAAATCGAACATGAAACAACACATACTTTCAAATCATAAGGTCATATTCTGTTGGTCATAACTGTAACTATGCAGCAGATGGGAATTATACTAGCAAACAGTTCCTTTTACTAATGAGAATGCTGGGGGGAGGGGGGAAGGAAGGTAAAATGTATTTTTTATTATTTTTTCAAGAATTCTGTTATTTCAGTGCATTTATATAAATATAGTAAAACACAAATTGAGTACCATGCTTGTCAGGGAGGCTGAACTAGAAGGTGACAATTAGCTCTATCAAGAATTGTCTTAGAGAGTCATTTGAGGCTCTGTGCTGCTCTCATAGCAATGCACTGCGTGTCTTGCTCGTAAATCGTGTAGAATTAGCTTCCCGCGGAGCTGACCCAGCGTCTCTTCAGGGGTAACTCATACACACAGGAGCTTGTGTACTCCTACCCCAGGAGGTACATCCACTTTGAAGAAGTTGTCCAAAGCTTGAAAAAATGAGTTTGAGTATTCTGAGAGGATTCAGAAAAGCAGCTGTAGCCCAATGCTCGGGAAGTCAGGTATGTAAAAAATGCTCCAGCTGTGAAGCTGGTGAACCTCTAGACCTTGATTAACATAAAGAAAGGTGCTGGTCACTACCCACTTCGAGTTTCTAGAGGCTGAAAACCAGCTCTCAGGTTCTAGTCCATGGTGGATATTTGCAGTGAGTAGCAAGCTTAGAACAGGTCAAATCAATGACCAAAACTATTTCAATAATATGAATGTAGTTTAGATAACCTTGGTTTTTAAATGGTCATTTTATAAACAAGCTCAATGTATTTAAATTAAAATAAAAAAAATCAGTCTGTTGAACTGGTAGCCAAATACTAAATGCTTTAATTTTTTCCTGTACTATTTCCCCTTATGAAACAAGTGCAACTTTCTCCTTATGGAAAATAGGCTACTTTATTTTATATATGCCTTAGAAAGTGAAGGAAAGATCTAACAAAAGAGACACTTCGGTAAAAAAAACTTAAAGAGTAGCAATGCTGATACAGTTAAAAGGCAAGGGCTTGGTTCTTCACTAAATTTCCAGTATCTAGGTAGAGCCTATTGCAAAAGTAAAGATACAGAAAGTATCTGCACATGCGGAAGGCAGCAATTTATCGAGCAACATTGTGCATGATAGGTCACCGCAGATAGATACATTCACAAATCATTTGGATGGCATTTCGGGAAGCGAAATAGTAGTGACACATTTTAACATTATTACCGGAATCACAGCAACAGTTACTTTAATTATTGTTTCAGAAATGTAGTCATAGGAAGTGCCTCAGAGCATAATGTTGTTTTTCCGTCTCTCTCGTGCCATGTTGGTCACAGCTGCTTCTGATTAAAGGGGAATGGGTTCTCAGTACTTAAGGGATTAATAAGAGAAGACAAACCATCTTAATTAATTAGCCCTGACATTTAAACTTCCTAAGAGCATGATGACGATAATGTGAAAGTCATTAGAGAGTGCAGAGAGGCAATATGAAAGCAAAAGTTGCAGGATTGCTCAGTATTGATTGCAAAGCAGTCCCTCTACCTTTTTGAAAATGGAGAGCACTACAGAGCGGCTTGACAACGTGGCAAAAGTTGATGAGATCGTGTTGGGCCATTTAACAGAATAAATTGCTTCTCAGTTGATAAAGTTATAACTACAGGTAGAATAAAGCATTTTCAGTGAGCTTAAATATCAGCTAAATTTTAGTTCATAAGAACATCTATTTGGC